TCAGAAATTCAGAAATTCAGAAGTTCAGAAATTCAGAAATTCAGAAATTCAGAAATTCAGAAATTCAGAAGTTCAGAAATTCAGAAATTCAGAAATTCAGAAATTCAGAAATTCAGAAATTCAGAAAAAATAGAAATTCAGAGATTCTTTCAGAGATTCAGAAATTCAGAAATTCCGAAATTCAGAAATTCAGAAATTCAGAAATTCAGAGATTCGGAGATTCAGAAATTCAGAAATTCAGAAATTCAGAAATTCAGAAATTCAGAAATTCAGAAATTCAGAAATTCAGAAATTCTGGTATTCTGAAATCTTGAAATTCAGAAATTCTAAAACTCTGAAAACCTGAAAATCTGAAACTCGACAACTCCGAATTTCTGAAATTCCAAAAAAATCCGAAATTCAGAAATTCGAAAACTTTGAAATTCAGAAATTCAGAAATTCAGAAATTCAGAAATTCAGAAATTCAGAAATTCAGAAATTCAGAAATTCAGAAATTCAGAAATGCAGAAATTCAGAAATTCAGAAATTCAAAAATTCAGAAATTCGGAAATTTAGAAATTCAGAAATTTAGAAAATCGGGAATTTTAGGAAATCAGAAATTCAGAGATTCAGAAATTCAGAAATTCAGAAATTCAGAAGTTCAGAAATTCAGAAATTCGGAAATTCAGAAATTCAGAAGTTCAGAAATTCAGAAATTCAGAAATTCAGAAATTCAGAAATTCAGAAATTCAGAAAAAATAGAAATTCAGAAATTCTTTCAGAGATTCAGAAATTCAGAAATTCCGAAATTCAGAAATTCAGAAATTCAGAAATTCAGAGATTCGGAGATTCAGAAATTCAGAAATTCAGAAATTCAGAAATTCAGAAATTCAGAAATTCAGAAATTCAGAAATTCAGAAATTCTGGTATTCTGAAATCTTGAAATTCAGAAATTCTAAAACTCTGAAAACCTGAAAATCTGAAACTCGACAACTCCGAATTTCTGAAATTCCAAAAAAATCCGAAATTCAGAAATTCGAAAACTTTGAAATTCAGAAATTCAGAAATTCAGAAATTCAGAAATTCAGAAATTCGGGTA